AAAAGGGGGGGATTACCCGCAAGTCAAAAAGGAAGGGGGAGGCCAGGAAGGCAGTGGCCCTTCTAGCTCCATCTCTCCCCCCCCTGTTGCTAGTGAATATTTGCTATGTACAGTACCGGTACCTGGCACTGGATGATGGCCACAGGAAGTCTAAATGGGCGTGACAATAAGTCTCCACTGACTTCTTTTAGCCTCTGTGGTTTGTATAAGCTCAAAGGGAATCACTCCAGTGTGGGTAGGAGTAACACCTGGTAATGCATGCAGAATTCTCCACATTGTGCTTGAACACCCTCCAAGTTACTGCATAGAAATATCGGTGCATGTTTACACCTTTTCTGACATGAAGGGGTTACAATGTCATCGTCCTTGGGCTCCAGATTTGTTTTTATCTCGTCAGGCTTTTATACACAAGCACTTCCCATATACATGTATACCGGATACTGACACTACCTGCAGGTCCATAATGCTCAAACGAAATGTAAAAGTATGTTTATGCTTGGGTGGAAGTGTGATGGTTCTCTTGCAAAATAGGACTCTTTGTGGACATACATGTAGATGTACTCCAAATTGGGAGGGTAAATGTGGAAAGGTTTGATTGACAGTTGGTCTATTACTGTGGTGCTGGCTAAGTGTCTGGCTGGGGCTTAATAGTGTCTAGGGCTGGTTTATATTCGTCTGTTCATCACCTGTTTATGGAATGTGTATTGAATTTTTCTTAGAATTGCTCGTTGTGCATGTTTAAACTCTTCTTCAGTGTATAAAAATTGTTCAAAATCTTTTGGAGTAAAGTAAACTGTTAAGTGCACTTTTTTGGAACATTCAAAATTGACCAATCTTTTCCTAGAACTGTCAGTGTGATATAAATCCAGGAAGACACTGTTCAGTCTGCATGTTTTCATGTTCAAATTTTGTACCCCAGATTTGCTCTCTGAAAACATTTCTGAGAAAAGTTTGCTCACCAGCTAATTGCAACAGCATTGAATTGCCAAAGTAACTGAAAATCTTCTATAGTGAAATGAAAAAACCAACGAGCAATTATTTGTGCACAAATCAAATGGAACATTGGGGTTTCATGCCTCAGATTACATCAGTGTTTTGCTCCTGAATGTGGAAATTCACAGTAGCATAAAAAAACTCAGAAAGTCTCCAAAATGCAGATAAAAATAGTCAAATAAAAATTGAAAATGAGGTTAATGAACACAAAGAGCAATAAGCCTTTTGTGAGTTAAATTTGAATAAAATCCGGTACACTGAGTTTAATGCACATAAACATAACAATTTGAATTCTCCCTACTACAGACACTGTTGCTATACATGTACTGGGATCTAATAACTGGGGTAAGCTTTTGCATGGCAACCACCAGCTCTGGAATGGACTGGTTCCTTTGTGCCCTTCTTATCCATTGAAAACAGTGTAATGGTGCAAAACATCTCTTATGTACTGTACATGTAACTAAGCAAAAGATTGCCCTGAATCACGAGGTACATTGTATAGCAACAGTGTCTTTAGCATGGAGAATTCAAATTGGTCACATGAATTTACATGTATAGAACTCATTGTACCAGATTGTATTCAAATTTAACTCATAAGGCTCAGTTTTGTGAGTGGAAGACTTTCCATGTATGTTCACCCTGCGCTGCCGGTGTGTCAATTAAGTTAAAGCATGGGATTGTATGGAGTGGTGCATGACAGGGTTAGCCACAATCCGGTCCTGTCTCCTGCGACTGTGGCTTTGAATTTTGATCAAAAGAGGCAGCGGTGAAGAGCCGCAGCCAGTGTTCGTTACTTGTGAATGCCATTGTCTCACGTGGAGACATCGCACTGCATGTTGCCAACATAGAATGCAACATAAACCGTTTAAAATATTTCTTGTAGGGTTTTCCTGAAGATTTATGCACTCCACCTATGTATGTATTGGCAAACATCATCATTTAATGTCCTCAGAAGCCAGTACCAATCCCTAATATCATAAACTGATTTGTATTGACACCATTAAACTATACTGAATTCTACACTATTCAAATATCAACTGAACTTTTGGTTAGGTGATGAATTGCTGTGATGAATTGCTGTGACAGAATAAAATCAGCGTTTAAGTTTGTGAATCTGGCTTTAAAACACTTTTGCAAGCTAATGACCATCGATATCACGGTGGCCTTTAGTTCAGCAGGGGCTTCATCTTCATGGATTTCACATTCTTTTAAAAACCCCGGTTGCAAAAATGACACTAGAATTTTTCTACAGGAGGAGAGGAAGTTTCACTACTTGAAAAAGGCTACTGCATATTTGATAACATACATTGTAAGATCATTGAATAACAAACAAATTTCATCAGACGTCTTGTTTCCATCACAAAAGCTTGCTGGCGATCAATGATAAGCAAACTAAGCTGAGGAAGGAAGCATATGTTTGTATGGTCCCTTTAAGGGGATAAAGTGTGATTAAGCAATTTTAACTTCTCGAGGTGTGGAACTGTTGTCATTTGTACTGTTCCTTTCAACAGTATTTTCCAATTTATGTTCTCTTTTATTTCAACACTTCCTTTTCCTTTGATAGAAAAACTTCAGTGACTCTATGCGAAGGTACTGCTTATCACAGGAAATCCAGCCACCATCCATCCTTCCTCTGAGGTGTCAGAAGTCGGTGGTGGGTGTCTACATCCTGCCAGGCCTGCTGAACCTGGTCTTCTACCTGTACACGCTTGTTCTCAACCGATTCATGGAGGGCGAGCAACTGCCAGCAATGATAGAGAAGGTGATGAGGGACCAAGGCGTGTCCGTTGACGGGGCTGCCTCCACTGAAATTCCTGCATGAACTGTTTCAAATGTTATGAGAGTTGTGTGTCTTGTTGAAGATTGTGTGCTGAATGCCACAAAAAACTTCTGGCTAAAGACTAGGCTTGTTCTGTGCTGTATAAGTAACATAATGGCAGGTAGCCATCGTTCCCAAAAATAGAGTGTGATGTAATGTTGAGGATGTTCTCTCTGTTGTGAGATGCACTCATTCTTTAGTGTGTAAACTGTGAGCATCATGAAAGATATGTGAAATCAGAGATCAGAATGCCCGAAATGCCAAGAAAAAATGAACTTTCTTCAAATTATGATACTGTACATGTTGGGATTTGTGCGACTTAGCAATTTCGACATGCTCAGCATTCACAGCTATCGACGACAGCACAAGAAATCAATACAATGTCTTTGAGATACTTCAACCAGTTCCAAATTATTAGAAAAAGGAGGAATTCTTGCCATTGTGTTGGCACTCTTTCAAAAAAGTTTGAATAATTTGGTCCGGGAACCAGTCTTACATGTACAGACTCTAGAGGTCTGAGGACAAAAATTACAATGTGCGGGGATCATGATAATGATAAAAATATGGATGAGAATAGAACACTCATATGGGAATATTTCCTTCATATTTGATATTTCCATCAAATTATAGGTCAGAGCCCTCTCACATTGCTGAAGCCTGTTTAGATCTTTGTGCATGTTCTCTATGATTTCCAATGCATTTGACAGCTTTCCTACTTGCAAAATGTGCTCAGCAGGTTATTCTTTTGCTTGATCATGGTTTATCATGAAAATGATAAATTGTCCAATGAATGAGTGTGGGGTTTGATGTAATTTGACAAGTCCGTGTTTCCAAAGGGAATGAATTTTGAAAAGACCTTCCCTCGTCTCATCTGAGACCTAAAACATATGCACTGTGATAATTTTTTATTGCATAGCACAAAAGGCGTCAGTAAGTTACTGTCATTCCAGCAGCATTCCCCTAACGGCTTGATATTTTTGCCATGCTTTGAGTTCTCTGCAGTCCATTCTTCCTCTGTGTTATTGTGGTGGCTTTAATTGGAAAATGATTTGTTTTAAAATAAAAATTAAGAATCAGCCAACAGGTAGAGTTTGTTCCCTCCATTTTGATGGCAAAACTGAATAACATCTTTATTACAATATGAAAGTCTCGGGTCTGTCATTCAAACTACAGCTATGCATGCTTGTTGACAAGTACACGTACAATATAACTTTTTTGGGTTGCTTGCATAGATTTCTAACCAAGGAGGAAATACTGGTCACAGACTTTCCCCGTTTGATTAATGTGTTTTTATGTCTCACATAGGCTGTTACTGGTGTGTGTTTAACCCCTTCGCTACGGAGGACTGCTACTACTGCAACATTTTGTGAGGATTAGTGTATACCACACATACGGTCTAGTCACCATGCAGCTGCTGGTTCAATGGGGCCTGCTGATGGACAAAGCCCTCCATTCGTGGCATGCCACAGCCAAGCAGTCGATGTCAAAATAATCCTGACGTGAAGGGGTTAAAAACTACATGTATATGATCGTGTTTTTTATTCTTTTGCCTCTGGTTTTTTTGTTCTGTCTTTCCATGACCTTTCTTTGAGCTACTTCTTTCTTTTCCCCCATTTAGGTGTCCCTGCAGTGCTCATCCAGATATTTCGTCGGGTACCGGTCACATAGTGGGCTGGTGAAGTCGTTGGCTAGGTTCTACTACCTCGGCATACTGTGGATGTTCCTGGCCTGCGGGTTACCAGTCCTATTCACAGTTTCTGAGTACATGACCCTGGATGGCATCTACTTTACCTTTCTGCAGATGTGGTGAGCCAGACAAGTTCCAAGTGCCCCAGTTTGGATGATAAAAATTTGGTTCCAATATTATGACTGCTGTGATCTTGATTTTCAGCTACACCTTTTGGCTACAGTTTCTAACCCCAGATGAGGAAGTCCAGATGAAGGAAGGCCCTCAGAGAATCGATAAATGATACATGTGGCATGCAGTGCACAAGAAATTTTACCTCTGAAGTTTTAGCATCAAAAACAGAAAATATTTGACGATTGTTTTTATGAGTTCAGGATTCAAGTACTTAGTGTAAAATACCAAGTTTGGGGCCAAATCCAAGTATGATATGAGATGGAATATTTTGTCTCTTTTGCACTGAAAATGGAGTACTAGGCCAAGTACTGACTAGTAGTACTTTAGTTGTAATCCAAGTACCAATTAGTTCTTTAGTTGTACTCCAGTACAAGTATGAGTACTCGGACATTGATAATTCTCTTCCGCAGCCATGTAGGAAACATCGTGTTGACAGTGTTGATGACAGCAGGCTTTGTCATATTGTACCTGTCCTACACAGCCATGCTGACCAACTACACCACCCAGAGCCAGCTCATGATCTACCTACTGCTGGGCCTGTCTGAGAGGATAGAGGATGCCAGCATCCGCTTGCCGGACACGGCAATATCGGTGAGCTCCTTGCACTCAATCTCCTCAGCCGGGGCTCTGCTTTAGCCAGCATTTTTGCCAGTTGAAACTTTCAAATTTGACTAGAGTTGGAAACTATGACATTCAGAAAGTTCAGAGACAGTGTGCCTCTTTCCAAATGGAGATGAAATGTACAGGTTTTGGGATAAAAATCAAGATTGCCTCAAGAGTATTTGAAAGTTTATTGAAGCAAATTGAAAAGTAGGAAATGTTCAGTGCATGGTTACTGTATCAGCAAGCAGGGCAAGTGGGGTAGAGCATGGCTTGGCATTCTTCAATTGAAGGACTGTTGCATGGTCGTGTGTATGTGTAGCAAATTGTTGTAATTGTAGACATGGAAAAAAAAATTATTATAAAGTTGTATTGTGCCTGTCTGCCTGTCACAATTTATTTGCTTTTAAATGGTGTGAACCTGCGCACAGTTTTTTTTTTTCATTTTTTCGCTCGTCAGGAAAACTCCTCTGTTTGATGATTACTCATAGATGTCCTCGTGAATGTTTAATTTCTGTAGTAAACTATCCACAGGGCCTTGTCCATTTCAAGATTAAATTCCAGAAATCAGTGATGTGTAAGTGCACGCATGGTACAAATAGACATGGGCAACGTGCTTTACGCACATGCTCATGGGCACGGAGAATGCATTGCAGCACCTGACTCAAGGACACTGTACTAAAATCCCCAATTAAAATCCCTCATCTTGTCGATATTGGTAGTCAGCAATCTTATGACCAAGCAGTACCATGTACGTCATGCCCAGGTTTGACAACATTTATCCATCACGTCAGTTACTGGCCCTTCTACATATACTCGCGTAGTGGTAATTTTACTTGATGTGACCGGTCATTTTTATGCCTTCCACTCTGCCAGATGGTGAATGAAGCGGCCAAACTGCTCAAGGTTGTCAATGGTCACACTGCTTCCTGCATGTCGCTCCTCATTGTCATCTTGGGCTTGGATGCTGTCCTCTGTATGTTTTTTCTTGTGCTCATTGTGTAGGAACCAGTAGCGCTTTCCATGCACACTGTACTTTTGTTTCCGTTATTTTTGCAATCATGTCCACCGCACAAGATTGGTTCCCATGATGTTATTTTTGACCGTGTAGTGCAGCACTCTCTGGAGTCCCCAAGTGAACATTAATGTGAGTTGGTACAGTTGTACCTGTGTACATGCACTAAGGCTGTGTTTATTTTGGCTGAACACTTTGAATGTACGTGAGGCCGGTTCATAGTTGATGCAAACGTGAACACAAATGCAAAATTGTGGTGGCAGATCAAACATTTGTTCTTCGAGTTTACAAAAGATGGACACAAAGCTACACATTCATTTCATGTATGAACAGGCTTAAGGAAGGAATATGAGAATTCCAACGCATTTATAAGTTGATGAGAAAAGTAAAGTTGGCAAAAGGACTTGAACTTAGAATAAGACTTTAAGGCAAAGTCCTCTGGACATTTTTCAGCAAGTTTTTTACATATTTAATTTCCTGCCTGCTTCCCAAAGCCTGTTTACTCAAAACAAATCAGACCCTGCTGTCTTGATAGTCAGGTTGAAGCCCTGAGCCACTGTAATGTAACTTGAGGGGACCCCAAGAAGTACTGGACTACAGTTAAGTAATGCTGCTAATACATGTACAACTTGGCACGATGAATCGGAACAGTCTTTCTTCTTTTTCTGTTTCATTATTCAGAGCAATGCAGATGCATGTAAGGCAGCTCTAACATTTTCTTGAAAATTGATGTACACTGGGTTCAGACCTGATCTGTAAAGACTTCATGTTCCAAAACCTATTGCTTGAGATACATGTGCATGTATGTGGGAAGACCATGTTGCTTAGGTGAAGTCACTTTAAATGTGCGTTCATTACCAGTGTTCATTGTACATTACTTGAGAAAAACTGAAGAGTTTTCCTTGTCAGCTGTTCACACACAAAGCTTCAAAACACATTTTTGTGAAAGGATTTCTATATGGACAAATCTTGCTTTTATAAAGGTCTTGTCAGCAAACGTGAACATGTGAAGACAGGTTGATTATGTACAGCACAGTGTGCAAGATGTTAAAAGTGAAGTTGAAAAGTGGCACAGTAGTCTAACTGGGGAACATTTTGTAGAGGGGGAGGCACTAGGGACTCTCAGTTTCTGGGCATTGAATGGGTTTGGTGGTAGACCCATCTCCAATTTGTTTTTAGGGGGAGGACTTGTGCTGCCATGCCCCCCCATTACGCCACTGAGGTGACATTTGGGGAGCCTGTTCTTGAAAAAAAATCACATCTCATTGATTATACACTCAATGGAGAATGGATTACTTCCAGTGCAGTGGCATTTGTGCACATGGGCTTGGCTGTTGGATGAGAATCATTTGTTGTTGGTCTAGTAGCATACACACACAGTCTCTGTACAGGAATTGTTGATGCCGTGGCTTGGCACGCTATGCCATACCTCCGTCATTTATGCACAGTACAGGGCCCATGGAATATTCAAATGTAATGTACCATGTTGAACATCAGTTTGCCATGGCGATGGATCTACATGTACATCACACAATGAGTAGTCAGCCAAAATGCCCTACCGGCCAAAACCTTTGGGAACGGTTCATTGCTTTTGGAGCAGACCCGTTACCTTGGTAACTGACAGTAGGTGACTTGTTCACCTTTTGCACCAAAACACAGGCCTGGCTGTTTAAAAGGAGATTTATTTTCCTACGGAGGTTTTCTATTTATTCAGCTTCTCTCTGTCACCCCTCCCTCTCCCACACAGTTGTTCTTGCTGTATCCAGTGGTACGCTAAGCAGGTTAGAGCCTGTCATGTCAGCATCATACCTAACAGGAGCAGTTGTTGGTGTCGTCTTCATAGCCATCAGCCTCACGCAGGTAACAGATTCCAGACTCATGTGTGGAGTTGACAGTTGATGAAATTCAGTGTTTAAGAAAAAATAGATTTCACTCCAAAAGAGTCGGGGGGGGGCAAGGGGCAGATTCCACCCCCTTAACATTTTTTCCTTTATTGCTGCAGTACTTTTTGTTCCATGAGTCGAGTATTTAGGAGTTTTCTTAGTAACTCTTTGCAGTAATTATGACACCAATTACGTGAAAATGCAACATTTTCCAAGACGTGTACTCACATGTACTTTTCCATTGGCCTTGGACTTCAAGCGATCTTAACAGCAAAGCGTTAGATTTACAATGTTTGGGTAAGAAGTGCCTTTATATACATGCCAAGTTAAAATTGGGCAATTGGACAGCCAAGTTATTGGTGGACAGAATCTGCCCCCCCCCAGCTGTGAGAGGTCTAAAATAACCCCGCTCTTTTAATGATAAACATTTGGTCAGCCGTTCTTCACTAATGTCAATCAGGAAGCATACTTGGTGCTTTCAGAAAGTTTACTCTTAATAAAGCTCTCAGTAAGCACGGCCAGCATGAAGGGTGCTACTTTGTAATGAATAAGCCAGAAAGAGGGTTTATGCAGGTATTATAACCTCTTGTGAACATGTTGTGGGAGTGCTCACTTGATCATGTTGCAATGTGCTGGACATAATGGGATTGTCATGAATACCATGGTATCATCCAGTCTGGTATGCATTGGACCTTGTTCCTTTTAAACTTTAGAAGCAGATGTAGGTTTGGCATTGTCCGATAGTTTTGCCTGATATTTGCCTGGATGGATCCAGGCATACCTGTGCATGTACATGTACATGTATTTGTCAATGGGATGTGACAGAATAAAATCAACTCTTAACAAAATCATACGACAAGAAAAAACTGTCGGCCAAATGGCATTATTTTTGTTCTGTGCTGGTCATTTTTGTTGTCCAAGCAGACTTGTGTGTGTTGGCACACACCTGCTGTGTTGTCACATCAGCGAAAAGAGTCATTGTTCTTATGAATGTTCCAGAGACATAGTGCACACTAGTTTTTTTTCTTTTTTGGACTGTCATCTTCCACCCTACAGGCCGGGAGGGTGACTGCTGCCTGTAACCAGCTGAAACGTCTGGGTCACGAGGTGAGGGCCAGACCGTTGGGCTATCACGAGATGTCACGGGATGCATTGGACTCATTTCTGCTGTACCTTACAACACTAAACATCAAGGTGAAGAAATGGCAATCTAGGAATTCCCTGACCTGTAACAATGAAATTACCAACTGCGTACAAATTTAGACTAGGCAAAATGCAAGTTTTGCGGTAGCTTTCTTTCTCGTCAATAAGCCACTTCGTCAAATGCAATTGAAGTAAACTCCAGACTGCAACTTCAAAGTGGTTTGCTGACTACAAAAGGTATCTGAAGAGTGTGTCATTATGGTTACTCTTTGATAGTGCTATCCCCCTGGTTAATTGAGCCTGTAACTGAGCTGGAAAAGATTAGCAAACCTGAAGTGTTTCTTCAAAGTGGAGAAAATTTCAATTTTTTTTTCACGATTCAACCGTATACCTTCTTATTCAAGCTTGAGATGACAGTTTTGTGAATGGGTGGGAACAGTTTTGTTCCGAGAAAAGAAAACATTGTTAGGCTAAGGCAGTCTCAATAATTGGAGAAGAGCGTCCTCTGTCACTAGTCGAATTCAGGGGAGTCTTTTTGCTTTTACATTAAAACATCTGAAACATTAAAAAAAAAGTTCTTTTGTCAAGTGTTCTCTGAAGATATCACAGTTGGTGGACAGTAACATAGACCACACTTGCACTAAGAAACACAAAGAGTACATGCTATGAAGATCTGACAGCCAAAACAAAAGCTAGTAATGCATAGTAGGCTTCACATCCACACTTGAAAGTTTTTTCGTGCATTTTGCGAGCTTTAACTTTGGCCAGAGAGGGATCACATTTACAGAAGCTACACAAGGGTGGATCTAGAACCATAATTTTGGACATTCTGATTTAACCTTGTTTTGCCTTTATGAGGGATAAGGCTGCATTATTGGACCTTTTTAGACACTTTTGAAAGGAAGGGAAATGGAAAAAAAAATGTCTAACACAAAAATACGGGGGCTCCTTTTTTTGGAGGGGGACATGGCCCCCCCTTGGATCCCACAGGGTCCTTATAGCTACTGCTGAGATTGCTGTATGAAGACAGGTGAAGTAAAAGCCCTTTCATTTACATAAGAGTCCTTAAATGTCGGATATGACTATATGTTGCTGTCTCATTGTCCTTGCAGGCCAGGCTGTGTCGCATACCCATCAGTTCCTCCCTGCTCTGGCCCCTCAGCTTTGTCTTGCTGCTCGTCGTTGTGATACTCCTTCAGGTAAAGGTCTTCGCCCGTTAGGCCACCCAGCCCTGCACGTGGTGCTTTTCCCTCATCGGAACGAGTAATGTGTCTGTCTCAAGCTGCTGCGACTCTGGCTGGTGTTCAGAGGTAATAAATAATCCACACGCCAACATTCCACCGTTGTCTTCTGGTCATGCCACTGCCTGCAGTTTTACTTGCCTTCAGACAACTGTGAGTATGGCCCCCTCCCTTGCCTCGGCCGATGTGATCGATGCCAGTCCATCTCGGATCACTCCTCAGCTAATGCCAATACCCATTTGTTCTCCTGGATGAAGAGAGGCAAGTAAGGGTCAAGTGGCTCGCCCAAGGCCTCATCAACATACGACCAGCAGCTGGATTCGAGCCCCTGAGCCTTCAAATTACCCAACCACTAAACCCTATTCCCTTCAAGCTCCTTGTCTAAGATCTCTATTAAATTGTCATTTTCTGGTTGCATCCAGACCTCCTTGTCTGTCCATGTGTATGCATGCTCATTATGCTTTGAGTATTTTCTACGGTCCCTGCCGAGTTTGAGGTACAGTTGCAATGAGTTGTCTTTCAGTTGCCCTCTTAATTGTGACATGCTCTGTGAAAATGAGGCAGAAGTTACAAAAGCCTCTTGAGTTACAGACCTTTAATAGTCTTGTACTATGGAAATTGGAAGGACCCTTCAACATTGTCATCCTTAACAATGTCGCAAAATGCCATCAGGAAATCATAATGAGTGATACTCATCAAAACAGAGCGCATTGTTTGCTCCTACTTCAAACTGAAAGAGAATTACTGATGAAAGGGCCTCATGACTCATTTTTCTCAGAACTAGATGTAGATGAGTATTCTACTTAACTTTTGCTTCGTGTTGAGAAAAAAGAGCACACAAACAGTCAACTTAGCTGGCACACAAAGGTTTTTACTGCACCAACCAAAGCAGTAAGAGTTTGGATACAAAAAGCCATTTTTTAACCAAAATAGGGGGACCTATTCGTGAATGAATAATGTGAAGTATTTTTGAATTGAAATTTCAAGAGGTCTCATGATATGATATATGCCCCATTTATGCACAAGGCACTGGTCTCTTTCTCTTTTTAAGGGTGGTTTTTCTCAAAAGTTGGCAAAAGTTAGGTGATTTTTTTCTCTCTCCATCCCAGACCACATCTTCATATCAGAAAACCTCCAGTGTTTGATGTCGCATTATAGGATTTGAAGGAGAATGTGAACCTCAATCGAGAATGGGTCTTGGGAGGTGTGGAGTCGAAGTTGAAGTCAAAGATAAGGTTCATATTGAGCCCCCCGGTTTCATAAGCCTCATTCCACCGAATCACTTTCTATCACATTACAGGGTGTACCAGAAAAACCAAACCCTTAGGAAAGGGGTTAATATGCCCAACCATGCGATATTATTATAATGTATAAGGATCTCCGAAAAGTAGAAGCAATATTCTTTCTAATGATACCTTGATGGTATCCCTCCTGTCATTTATGACTGAACACCATTGTCTTGAAGATGGAGCATCAGAACTCAGTTGTAACACTTTGGATAAACCAGTGAATGAGGTTGTCCTCTGTCACGCTGGTCCTGGATAAGATATCAGGGGCACACCGATTATTTACACATTACGTAATTCACAGTTAATTATGCACCGACACCTTCCGCGTGTGCAAGTCTATTCCTCCTGCAACTGGTTCCCCTTGGCTGTTCGACAAGTTGCTGTTGAACTGCAGCAACGTTTTCATGAGTTCGCACTGTGCGCCTCCTTCCCGAATGACCCTTATTCAAATTAAGGCTTATCCCATGATCTCGGTATTTGCGTACATTTTCCCAAATGGTCGACTTTGCCGGTGGATCCCAATCAGGGAAGGCCTCCCTAAATGCAGTTTGGGTGGCTCGAAAGCTCTTGTTTTCAAGAAATTTCGTCGTGATAAACACTCTTTGCTCTTTGGTAAGTTGCACCATGTTGCAGACTTGCTGTCCTGCTTTGAAGACTTTTCAACTCTGCACTGGCCTACCTCGGGGCAAGTCAACACATTTAAACCAGATTAGTGCACAACTAGAAAGTGACAAAAAGCAATCTTCCCTCATTAACATGACCTTTTGTTGTCACTTCCAACCAGGACAAGCATAACAGAGGACAACCTCATTCACTGGTTTATCCAAAGTGTTACAACTGAGTTCTGATGCTCCATCTTCAAGACAATGGTGTTCAGTCATAAATGACAGGAGGGATACCATCAAGGTATCATTAGAAAGAATACTGCTTCTACTTTTCGGAGATCCTTATACATTATAACCATATCTCATGGTTTGGGCATATGAACCCCTTTCCTCGGGGTTTGTTTTTTTTCTGGGACACCCTGTGCAATGTTTACATTGAATTTTTTACATGTTTAAAAACTGTTTACATTTGACTGCCATGTATCGGCGTGCATAAAACGCATGCAAAGATTAACCAATAAAAAGCCCGTATTATGCGTGTGTGATGACAGTGCAAAGTTCTGGAGATAATCAACCAGCAAGTTTAAAACTCTTTTTTGTACGTGTATAATATAATTATACTAACTCAAAGTCATATTTAACCCTATTTTATTCGTCACAAAGACAAACAATTTTTCGTTTTCAATTGTAGTAACAATTAACATTTACATTTATTCTAACAGATATTGTTCCTCGATGCTTATACCGCCACCTTTTCGTAAGACTTACGATGTTTTGGGAAAGTATGAAAGAGAACAAGGAAAACTGTAAAACAGCATATGGCGAATATGTTCATTAGTATCTTGACAGATCTGAAGTGTAGTCAACAGAATTGGGTGGTTTTGTTTGAAATTATGACAGTACAATGCAGACAGCTGTGGAAGTGACAATTTCATTGAGTCTGAGATTGGCTATAACCATTCCATAAAATTTGCAAATCGAGGAAATTACAATAAACTTAAATACAGTTCTAACAAATGATTTTAAATTGGAATATGAACTGGTTTTTTAAATTTGCAAATGATTTCAAATGGAATTTGAACTGGTTTTTTGTTTCTTTGCATTTATTTATGTATTTATTTATTTATTTATTTGTATATATAATCTCCTTTTGAAGTAAGCGCACTGTGTTCAGCGTGACACGACTCTCCGGTATTTTCATTCATATAAATTTTGTAAAGTTTTACTAACACATCACTATTCTTTCTAGAGTTCCATTTAAAAAAATAATACTGAATATTTTATAAGCATTTTCCCATGTGATCAAGATTTGAAATTAAAAGGCAAACTTCACTACTGCAAACCGCGTACATGTATTATGTGTGGAGTTTGATCTTAAGAGAAAGATTGGTGTCGCCTCCATTGGTGTATAGATTTGAAAGAAATCGAATTCCATTAACAGAATAGCAATGATGTGTTCTTGACACTGTTGCTTACAAATTGTGCTCGATCTCTTCATTGCTATCGAAGACGGGGTTAACGTGAGCTTGATCTGCCGGGCTGTCGTCGGGGAAGTTCGTCTGTACACCCTCCTCGGCTTTCTGGCCTTCTTTCTGCTTGCTTTCCGCTTGCTTGTCTGCTTTCTCGGCATCTTGCTCGGTCTTCTCGTTCTCGTTCTTATCCTTCACCAGGACCTCTTGGTCTTCGTCCTTCCGGCAGCACGCGTACCGGATCAGGACGTAGACCAAGGTGACGACGGTACCCTCCACCAGGCTGATGAGGCTGACCACCAGCGGCACCCGACCCACTAGGTCGGACTCCGGCCGGGGATAGAACAGATCTAACATGGTCTTGGCCAGGAGCGCGTTCTGCGCTCCAGTCTCCAGCGCCACGGTGATGACGGACTTCTTGGGCAGACAAATGATCTTGGCGACGACGCCGCCCAAGATGACCCCGCCGATGGGTAGGAGGGCTGAGACCACCCACACCTGCCAGGGAGACTGGAAAGCGTAGAGCTGGGCGGGGATGCCCAGCCCTAGCGCCAACAGGATCAGGATGCCAGCCAGCGGCTTGAGAAGCCTCTCACAGATTTTCTTGAACTTCTCAAATTTGTAGCAAAGTGCCATGCCGATCCCGATGGGGATGACGAGGAGAATCAGCTGGATGGCCAGCTCCACGAAGGGTGTCTTGAGCTGGGCGTTCTCCGCCACGATAGGCGTGGCATAGATGAAGAGATTGAGGGGCATGAGGCCCATGGCCATGACGGTTGAGCAGAAGGTCATGGTGAGACTCAGCACGAAGTCGCAGTCCAAAAGCAGACTGAAGATGTTGCTAAGCCAGCCGCCGGGGCAGGTGCCGACAAAAATCAGGCCCAGGGCCGTCTCGTTATCCAGGGCAAAAATCTTGGTCAGGGCGAAGGCCCAGAGGGGCATCAGTATGAACTGGCCCAGCATGCCGATCAGGATCCCCCATGGCGGCTTCATCTTGCTCCAGATGACCTTGGGTTGCATTTTTGCTCCCGTGGTGACGTAGGACAGGCACAGCCACACCAGGAGGACGTAAGTGAACAGGATGTCCAGGATGGTGGGCACCCGGATGACCTTGATGGTGTACTCACCGACAGCCACTCCCGCCGCGCCCGCTGTCTGGGCTAGGCGGAGTCTTAACCTCTCGATGCCAACAAATTTGCCCTTGACGCGGACGGTCATGACCAGCGGCAGATCTGAGCTGTTTACGATGGTGTATTCCGTGGCGTTGACCACTTCGAACGTGCCTTCGTCCGTGCTGGCGACGCTTATGACGCCAGTATAGACACCGTCTCTGATGGTGATATTTAAGGGAAGCACCTGACCCTCCTTGACGGTCAGAAAGTCCGTGTCGCCATCATGGCTTACGGTGAAGTTCACAGAAGGCTGTGCCAGAGCAAAGGCGAGCCAGACAGAAACAAGCAACACAGCTACGTGGATTCTCGAGGGGAAGGCCATTTCAAGGAGAAGGTTTCGTGCTGCATATAAAAAGGGTGGAGAAAGAAACATCACGATTATGCTTTTTCCACTGAGAAAAAGGCACACAGTTGTATCTAAATCCCAATTGGTGCAAGATTGTCTTCGCAAGTTTATAATTGGCTAGCTTTAGTTGACTTTCTGTCATCTTTTCCCATTGACGTTGCATTGAACGCTTCTCCATATTGCCTATCGATTTTTCGATGAAAGTTGTCCGGTGAAATTGAGAACGGGTCCTTAAAATGTCATTGAAATGGAAAATTAAAAACTGAACACAAAATAGTCAAAGGAGAAATATGCAAATATGACAGCTGAAGAGTCCGAAGACGTCATTTTTGTTATTGAATATTTACACTGACCCGCAAAAAGGCGCTCAAACAACAGCACAAAGATATAGATAATGTAATGGCGGTTCAAAAAGTCCGTCAACAAAGAAGAAAAACGATCACCGCCGACTTCTGAAGCCTTCAGAGAGGCACTTTCCTTGACCAAAACATGCTCTACCCGAGTTTGAACACCGGAGTCACAGCGAATCGATTTATTTATTTTCTAAGGCCTACAGGTAAGCTTGAATGTAAACGAATCTAAGTGTTCACGCAAAGCACGTGGAAACTTTTTTCCTTAACCAGCAAAGGTGGGGCGGTGATGTCATGGAGTACGTTTCCAAGCACGCCGCAAATAAATTTGAGAAGAAAAAGAAACCCCTTTCCGCATAGATTTACCCGACAGTGTATACGGTCAGGAGCCACAGGGTATTATTTTTCAAGGCTTTTAAAAGACGAGGCCAGAACACTCTGTTGAGTTTTAAACTGATTGCTTGCCTCTCGGAGGTAGTGATTACATCGACAGGCTGTCTTTGCTGCATGTACACTTTACGGTGTTTTTAGCGATGCTATGATGGCGCTTCTCTTTGTCAGCGCCGATTGATGGGACAATAACGGGCAGATTTAATTTTGAGCTGTGCGGGAAGAGCGTCGACTAAGTAGCACCGCTTTGTGGAAAACCGATCGGTTTGGATCAGTAGGTTTATTGTCTCGCCCATACAAAGTGCACTTACCGTACGTCCAAGAAATGCCTGGTGGGAATGTTATTCTGGCTAAAAAAGGGTTTTATCTTTTAGAGCCTAAATTTGCACTAACTATTCTGGACGGACGCGATTCGAGCATCGTGTTTGGAGAAAACAACCACTGAGATTTTGCTTCGACAGAGTCATTCACTTCGCATGCTCTTTCAAGTTTCTTTCAAGTTCAACCAAACCGAGATGAACTTCAAATTCAAACAGGAGGATTAACTGATACAGTAACTTTCCTTTTGTACGTGGCCTATAGAAGGGGAAACACGTCCGTGGACAATAACTGGAATTATTAGTGATTTGCAAAATGCAGAACTGTCAACATCCCTCTACAAAATCATGCCGACCACCCACCACCACGACGATGCGGGGGGGGGTGGTGTCTATTCTCCCTTGTAAAACTGTCGTCCGGTGCATTTTTCGAAGTCCTCCCAAGCTGCTTGATGCCTGAACCATATTTCACTATTGAACACAACGTATTTCACGGGAAGACCCTGGAACCTTGGGATGCTTTTGTACCTCAAAAGGTAAACAAGAAACCAATCGGATTTCACATCTGCCGAACAAATACTCCAAGGGGAGGAATAGCACATCATCGCCCCACACGTAAACCGACTACCGCCGGAAGGCGACCGCCCATGCTTCGTTTACAGGTGCGCTGCCGCAACGTAGTGCGTCCCTGACTGCCAAGCAAACATCGTAAATAATAGTTGGCCACCGCCACTTATCTACGGAGGGGTAGTAAACAATTCTTTCAGTGACTTCGCACACAGTTCAATTATATTGGTCCAATTAATGTTTTTACGATACTCCGTCACCGCCATGCCGAGGTGTCCGAGGTGCTATGAATTACAACCCACGTACATCCGGGTGATTTTCAAGTGCTTGCCCTTCCCAGGCAATTGATATTTCGAGTTTTATTTTCGCATCGGGTGTTGCTCGGTAAACACGTCAACAAAAAAACTAAGGCACACGATCGGCTACCGTGCACTATGTCATCAAAATGAAAACCAGACCAAACCGACGAAACGATAAAAAATATTTAAAAAATCAGACTTTTCCCGTAACCACGCCTATGAAGGGATATCGCTTTAGTTTTGTTTTTGTTGTGTCTGGTTTTGGTTTTATTCACAGTGGACAATAAAATGTGGCAAAACCTGTTGTAGTTCCGACGAACAGGGGTGGCACTCTACTTCACCCACTCCCTTTATGTTCCAAAGGGAGTATAAAATGTTAGTGTGAGGAGGTAGGGTTCAAATACAGCGAACTCTTCTTCCACAAACCTATCTGGACATTCCACCCGATTAAATCATCCCACTTTTAAGATTTAAAGCATTGGTTTTTGCAGTTTTTTTGGCTGTGCCTACCAGTCTACCTGTCCAAAGTTTAGAACAAATGTCCATAAAAGACTAATTGAGCTCCAACGGATAATGCATAACGCCATCTACAACTTAAAAAAAAGTTAACAGTTTCTGAAATATTTCAGGCTTTTATTTAAAAGGACAATTTATATGGACGCCGCTGTTGTTGTCAGCCTGTAAAAGAAATTAAGAAGGGTTGTATGAGAGTATTCCATGAAGTGATATGAAATGCACGGACCATTCAGGAAAACGTAAGCAAGATCGACACGCTGATAAATAATTTCAAGACCGACATCCCATAGCAACGGCGGCGCATTCAAGGCAGTTGCCATGTTTAACAATCGGTTGTTCGAAGTATCGTTTTCTAAAATAAATCCCATCGTCAAACTTCATGCCATTCGTAGACACTTGCTCAGCCACTTTTTTGGAATGTTTTGTAGAGATTTATTCCTTGGCCATTCAAAATACCTGTTTGTCAAGATGATTATATGCGTTTGTGTGTTTATAGGATGTAATCTTTGAAGTTTCCCCTGTACGATGGGGATTGTGGCAATTCGTCGATTGAATAACGTCGTGTCCTTCCTCCATGGTTTAAATAACGTCAACTAATAATGTCCGCTCAGGGAGAATTTCATTGCAGTGACTTGTTTGCTCGTGGAGCGGCATCATGTTGGCAAGACGGATAATGTTTTTTTTATTTAATTTTTCACTCGAAAACCAAATTCACTGAAAGTCAAGATGGCAATCCATGCAGTTTAATTCGTTCTTGTATTCAGCTCCAAGCATGTCACTATCTGGAACCAAGGAACTATGCGAAAGATCATGTTCAAATTGCACAAACCGATACAAGCCATAATACGAATGGGTTTTTACCACTTCCTCGTCAGAAATAAATGGAAATCGGACACAAATAATAAAAGATTACGTTAAAACAACATTACATTACGCGCTGCAAATTAGAATGCCAACAGATTAACGAAGAACGAGATATTGGCCCTGTGGCTTACTCTCAGACGAAAGAAAAAGAAACAATGAAAAGAATTATGCAAAAACTAGGCAGTGTGGCGACTTTATGCGTCCATTCTTAGCAGAACATAGAGCACGCATGCAGAATGTGAAAGAAATCTTTGTATTTAGTTTTGTTTTCATCCAAGCATTGAAACAGTACGGTACGTGTAGATGACTTTTATTTTCGCTTTCTTTTCAAGGCAGTGTTTCTTAGGTAGGTGCTTCTTGCAACCATCTTCCATGCGTGCACCCTCTTACGATGGGATGCGTTTTCGATGTCACTGGTGCTTAGTTAAAAGTTGATACTTCGTCAACACTTGTTGGATATAATACGCCCAAATCTACTGCTTAGAAAAACATATCACAACAGTGTGCGCGAAAGCCTGCTTCACAGACCGCTCATTTTTACCTTGTGAAACATTGTAGAGCTGCGGTTTTCACAGTATAAATTATTTTTCCTAACCCCATCACTTTAAACTGCCTGGTGCTTTGTCAAATTATTTTGAGTCCCTAATGAGAGGGAAAAAACTTTGACTGATGTTCTATTTTAATGATCGAAGTTACAGAAACAAAAAAGCGAGTTACCTTTTTGCAGAGCGGAATGTCTTGCACCTGTCCTGTATTGACGTCCGAATTTCTACAGGTGGGTGACTCGGTTGGGTGACTCAGGTGGTCTGTGTGGTTGAAAGCAAGAATACGCTGCCCAGCACAGCGTTTCCAAGAGGAGATATTCTGCTGTACTGAGCTGTCCAACTGTTTTTAGTTTACAGCGACACGCACAATTTCAGGATATTTACATGACAACAGGGGCCCTTACGTAATCGCTATTCTTTTGCCTTCTAGCGGCTTCAAAAAATTGCTTTGTGGCGGGTCGACCTCGGGGGTTAACCGTTGTACAGAGTTAATTCATCCTTGCTATTACATTTCTCTATTGTGGGTGTCTATTGGTCATCGAGAAGGGACTGACGGTGTCATCCCTTTTAGTGTGTTGGCTGCAGAGGCCTTTTCGCACGGTGATTTATCGCCCCCCTGGTTTCCAGCGGCGTTTTCAGATCGGGGGGGGAGTGCAATTTTTTCTAAGAAACTGTCGTCCATTTGCATTCATCCGTAAAGGAAACCTCTTCCGATGAAAGTACTGTTTTATAATGCGGTACTTTTCGATTCCTAAAATCTAAGTACAAAACAACCAATAGCAACATGTCGGGGAAGGGAGGGGTCTACTCTCCCATTCTGTAATGGATGTATAGCTGGTTTTGTAGTAGACCTTGTTAACTTTTCCAGTGCAGGCTGTAAAGCAACATTATGATCTGCATATTCCGTGGTTGGTACAGGAATGCAACTTTTGAACCATAATAAGTTGAGATTATATCCCCCCTCAGATTCATACGCCTCTTGCTCAGAGTGTCGCCCTCTGCCCTCTGTGTCTTGAAAAGCAAATCGATGGCGTTGCAAAAGTGAAATCAGTAATTAATTCGAAGGGCCCCTGGCTTGTTTTGACCCCATACTCCGTGTGAATAAGCAGAGCACAAACCATCACAATAATGGATTGAGAACATGCAATAAACCAGCACCCGTGAATCAAAATTCTAAGTACTAGTTAGTGTTCCTTCCTCCATGATCGAGTCCAGATTCCAATTTTTTACATGTAGTCATCCAAGTCACAGAGGGTTGAAACATTTCACGGTTGATGGAGGAATTTAGCAGGGGCAAAGTTAAACTTGCCCACCATAAATTACGGAAATGACGAAGGTTTTGTAGCACCCAGTGCAATTTTTCGAACAGGAATGACTCATAATGCAAACAGGACATGTTCTGTCTTTAACGGTCTTACATTCCATAAAACGTTATGGCGATCATCTTTGTGGGCTTTTCTCACTTTAACAAGTGACTGTGATGTTAAAGTCGGGGGAATACCGTGAAGCAAGTTAAAAGGGAATACATGTACTTTCAACGATGAAAATGTTTGCTCCCGGTGAAATAATAAAGGATCAATATAAGAGGATGACCAATTCAAGGGAAATGTACCAGATTCTATGAGGTAATATCTTTCAGGCATTTGTGCACTCGAAATTAAAAAAAATAGACTTGTAAATTCTGAGTTGCTTTTCAATGTGTTCTTTTTAATGTAGTAATTAGTCCTAAACCAAGCTTGACCACGACAGAGATCCAGAACACGCTAAAGAACTCAAGCTTGGTTTAGGAATGAAGGGTGATATACATTTCAAATGTTTCAAGCAACTCTAACCATACTAATTCAACATTTGGCAAAGGGACTGCGACCGATGTAATTTCCAAATAACAAAAATAAAAAAAAGCAATATCACATGACTAAAGTCAGATGGATTCCTTGCATTTTTAAAAGCTTACTAAAAAGGCCCGTCGGTAGCATTCTCATGGGATCAATGATGCTGGCGGCAATCTCTTTTAAATGGGTTATGTTAAAGCAAAACAAATATGAGTATGAATTTGCTTTCTCTGCAATTTTATTTAAATTGAAGCTTTGCACAGATTCGAATCAACATAAGGAGATAGGATTTTACTGGAGGGCAGTTTAATGTGGACCGAGTCGTGTCCTATTCAGGCCGTGGCGGCCTCTTACATGTTGTGAGTTTCAGCCTTCGTAGGCCAATGGAACTAAAACAAACCAAATCAACCAACGAAAACAACTCAAGGTGTCCTCCTGCGGTGTGGTATATACAGAATCCGTCTGTCGTTTCGTTCTCGAGATCACCGAGTACAAACTTATTTAAATCAATCGTTTCCATGGCAGCCGCTTGACAGAGATCTTTACGTTGACTGTGGTTTTTACTACATGTATGAACGAATACAATTCCAAGATCCGCTTTGCCCTTAACTCAATTCGGCAGCTAACACTAAATTTTTCCGCATTCTAACAAGGAATCTTTTCATGTCAATGTAAAGTTGATGCATTATCCTGGCCTTAGACTGCATGGTTGAAGTTTAATTGAGGGCATTATTTTCTAATTCCGTTTAACTTTCCACAGTAAAACGGAAATGTTGTCCGATAGAATGTTTTTCATTTCTTGTGTATTATCTCAAAAAAAAAAAGCTCAAAGTAGACAAATTCAAATGGTTTCACGGTACACCCTTTAAAGAACAGAACTGCGTTGACAGCCATGTTAAAAACAAACGATGACCTTTGGAAGACTCCAAACGAATGACCAAGAGAAAAGCAGCACTGCGCAGGAGCCATTATGACGAACAAGGTTTATTGCTCATTCTTTCCACTAGCTAGCCACCAGAAGGGAGAGGAGCACGTGACTTTACATGGAGCCGGTACCCTGGCTGCCCCCCCCCCTTGAAATTTGCTGTTCACTTGTTTTCTGGGCCCCTTGAAAAAACAATGTGTTTGTCGACGGTGCCCACGAAATTTTATCCTGGTTACGCAAGTGATTTGTCTCCAGCTAAAAAGTGAACAGCCTGAGAAGTATTATTGTCCTTTTCAAGGCTGTTAGCTTAGGTCTACGACGTCACAGGTAGTTGGATACACCAACAAAGATGTTTATTTTCCAATATTTACCACAACGGATACACTCGGTTGCTACTGGGAAGTTATAGGAAAACCTTCGGTGTGGCTCGTATTCCAACGTGCTTTACGCACCTGCACGTAGGCCGGGAGAATCCATTGCAGCACCTTGCTCAACGACACTATTCCCACATCAAAATCCCCCCATCTTGTCCATATTGGCAGGCAGCAATCTTATGACCATGCAGTACCAGGTAAGTCACAGCCAGGTTAACGACGTTTATCCATCACGTCATCAGTTACTGGCCCTTGAACATACACACGCGTAATGCAGCCTGTAGTGGTGATTTTCAATTTTTGTCAGTTCAATTGACATTTATTCCGATAGGGCATGTATAAGGCATTCAAGTTGTATGCGTGTTTACAATTAATGAAGGATAAAGAAAATGATACAAACAGAAGTAACTATAAGATGACATTTGCACTACCGGGGCATTATCAAAAGCCCAGGGCTTGTACTGAAATGGCTTGAGAACAGACAGAAAACAAATCATAGGACTAACAAACAGACAAGAAACGAAAATATAACAGACGGAAAATTTGACTCAATGCATGTTACAGACTTAAGTCGGGATCTTTGTGACCATACAGTGACGTCTTCTTTTCTGCTTTGGTTATATATCGAGACCAGGCGCCGTTGCTTGCTTCGCGCCCTCTTTTGTCCACTTATATATGAGTTCAGTTCATAAGTCCCGACTTGACGAATCTGTCAACCGTTTGTACACAGCGAATGGGAATTAGTAGCAGATAATCACATTGCCGGAAGCTTGTTTTTATGTCGTTCATACCTGCATTACATAATGAACGAGTCTACAAGTCTGACTACTTTGATTGGTGGAAATTCTGTATACATGATGAAAGATCGTGCCGTTCAAAGCCAATTATGAATGACCACATATCACTGCAGGGGGTCCTACTGGCTTATCGTCGGGTCGGACTTACTGACTGGTGACGTATGACACACGTTGTACAAAAGAGGCTTTCCAACGAGGGCGCCTTTTATACTAGCTGCCTGGCCGAGGCGACGACTGTGTTGTGCGTGAAGGCTGAAGGGATGGCTGACTAGGGAAGAGCAACGTAAGTCCGACTGGATTCATTTTTTAGATGTGGCCGGTCATTTTTATGCCTTCCTCTCCACCAGATGGTGAATAAAGCGGCCAAACTGCTCAAGGTTGTCAGTGGTCATACACTCATTGTCATTTGGGGCTTGGAGGCTCTCCTCTGTATATATGTTGCTTGTTGCGCTCATGATGTAGGAACCGGTAGCGCTTTCCATGCATTTTTTTGCCATTAGGCCCTATGTCCACTGCACACGATCTGTTCCCTCATTGTTGCGTTTTGACTGATTAGTGATTGTACTTTTTGGAATCCCCAAATGATCAATGAACGTCAGTGAGTTGGTACAGCAGTACTCAAGCGAATTAGTTTATGTACATACATGTATATGTACTTGTACCTACATGTGTACTGTTACTTTGACAGAGTACTTTGAATATAAATAGGGTCATACTTTCACGATGATGTAAACTTGACTCAATTCGGGATCTCTGTGACTTCTTCGTTTATGCTTTGGGTATAATTATATCGAGATCACGCGCTTCACTTGCTTCGCGCCCTCTTGTGTCCACTTACAATATTACTATGAGTTAGTTCAGAAATCCCGACTTGACGAATCCGCGAATCATTTGCACACAGCGAATGGGCTCATATACCAAAATTGGTAGCAGCCAATCACATTGCCAGGCTTTTTTTACGTCGTTCACACCTGCATTGTAATGAACGAGTCTACAAGTCTGACTACTTTGATTGGTGAAAATTCCGTATACATCATGCAAGATCATGTTGTTCATCTGCAATTATGAATGACTACATATTACCGACGGGGTCCCATTGGCTTATCCGTCAAATCGGACTTACTGACTGGTGACGTATGACACACATTGTACAACAATGAGGACGCCTTATAAGGCTTATGCGAGTTGCCTGGCCGAGCCGCGCAACGACTGTGTAGTGCGTACATGCTCAAGGGATGGCTGACTGGGGAAAGCAACGTAAGTCCGGCTTGATTCAAGTCTATACTTGATGCGAACATGAACA